AGATGAAGTTTTATTTATGATTGGAGCTCGTTTCAAAGTTATTGAATGTTACCATAATGATGATACAAGTCTGTATGTAGCAAAAGTCAAATTAGAAGATGAATCATCTTTAAGACAGGAATACAATGTTATTGGAATAACAGCAAGAGCAATATTAAAAAATTGTATCGATGAAATAATACATCATTTATATAAAGTGAGTTTAGAAGACGTACACAGTCTTTTTATAGAATTACAAGAATTATTTCCCTTGGAAAAGAGCTGGCTGGATGCAGTTAAATATTTTGTAATCGCTCGAATCTATCAACAGTTCCATATCAAGCATTATCCTGAATATGTCCAGAATACATTGGATAAGTTGAAACAAGCATTAAATATTTATCAATCGTTTATCAACGACAAGGAACTTACTTGTGCTGTTGATATCGGTCGTATTTGTTCCAGTTTGGGTTTCGTTTATGACGTTTATGTAAAAGATAATATTCTCGCTAATAACTATTATGATCTTGGAATTACTTCCTGCACTTTATCACTACAGACAACTACAGATAAGCATAAACGAATAGAACTTTATGATATAATAGCCCTGCTTTCTCAAAATAGAGTAACAATCACCGATGACGAAACTCAACGAAACGGAATCTTACTTAATTGTATTACACATCGAAGACAGCAGTTGAAAGAGCTATTGAGTTATCTTCCAGCAAATCATTCAGATCTGTTAACTTGTATTCATAGTTTAGCTGAACTAGAGAATGCAGTTGGTCTTGTTACAGAAGCAACAATGGACTATGAAAAAGTGATACAGATTTATTTGCAACTGGAAGACCCCAATTTTAGCTCAAGTGCCGAAAACTATGGTAAAATTTCAAAAATGTACGCCGAACAAAAACAGAACTACACTCAAGCTCGTCATTATAAACAAAAAGAAGTTGAATGCAGATTAAAATACAGAGCAGTTCCAACAAATTCTATTGTGTTAATAGCTTCAATCAATTCTGATTTGGCTGAAACATATCGAGAATTGGCCGATATTTATATTCAGTTATCTGAATATGAACTGGCTGATGAAAGTTTGTTAATATCCATGCAGTTGTATGACGAAACTGATTGTTATGAGAAGAAGAAGAAGAAAATTAAAGATATCATACGAAAAATGAATGATATAAAAGAATTTGTATTAGAAAATTATATATTAACAGAGTTGTTTACAATAAATTAAAAACGGGTAGATATGTATGAATATATCATATGTGTTTTGTAATCCTAACATACATACAAATAAAGCATGTACGATAATAGCTACAAACAGCCGATTTGAATCATGATATATTCAATTAACCACCACGTGAGCAAGGTGTGGGTGTCTATCTTTTCTTAATTTACACCCACACCCACACCACACCCTCAAGAAATCTGAACATCTGTCATTTTCTTCGATCGAATCTTTTTCAACCCACACTTCCACCTATCTAAATCATTTTATTCGATGGGAAAAAATCTTTAAAAACAAAGTGACTATATACTGGTAAATGCATCTATGCATGCAATTAAACTAATTCTTCTTTTTTTTCCCACTCATTTATAGCTGCAAGTATTATTTATGGACGTAAGAATATAAAATAGAAAAAAAATAATTACATCAGTTTTCACCGTACACAACGACAAGAAAAGGAAAGAAACTATGCAACGACGAGTATTTTTTTTCTTGTAGCAGATATTACATTGGTTTATTCCATGTATCGACAATTAGTCTCAATAGTCATCTTCATGACGCATACTGAAGACTTCTATTAGTATCGGTGTGATTGCAATGAGCAATTCAACTGGGAATAATTCATATATATGAAATAACTATCATATAAAAAGGAAATGGTTTATCATATTCTAAACATTTTCAAACTATATCTTCATCAATATGCATACAAAAAAGAACTTGACGGTATACATTTATTTCATCATCAATAAATTTAATTTCATTCTTCTTTTTATTAAATAGATTCACATCGAAGGAAACATTGGTTGTGGGTAAATAAATCTGAGAATAAATTTTTTTGAGATTCATTTTCACATTGTTCTTATTTTAGAAAGAGTACGATGCTTTCTCGCTTAGCTCAATCACCATCATATGATGTAAATGTTAAATCTTTTATTAATATAGACGTATGAATTGATTTTCTTCTAGATTATTCATGAACCTCTCGAAAAATGGAAAAATTGCTATGGAGAAAATCTTTTAGTAAAAATAGGCGATTGTAAATAAAAACAATTCTTCTTAAAATTCTTTTATTATTGTAGGCACAGTTTTACAAAGAACCAAGTCGATGGGCTTTTCTTTTCGAAATAAATGCTTTAAGAACATTGGCTGAACTATATGTGGAACCACCAAAAGAACTGATTAAAATTCACGAACGATCGATTCATTCTACTCGCCATTGTTTTATTGAAAATCTTTTTGAAAAGTAAATCATCTATTATATATATCCATTTGAATATGTTTAAATTTAGTGGTACTCTAACCAACGTTGAATATCAGATATTAGATGATGATTTCAAAAGGCTTACCGATAATAACTCATGCAAAGTCGATCTGATACGTAAGAAGTATTATATTGTAATTTTATTGTAATACTTAGAGTGTTTTTTAGTCTACCTACAAACAGAACCGGAAGTCTGTCTTGAACGCATTCGTGCTCGTAATCGATCTGAAGAAGCAAAAATTGATCTTGACTATTTACGCGCTCTTCATCGACAACATGAAAAATGGTTAACACCAAAAATTTACCATGACCGTGCAATCCTCGCACGTGTAATTACCATTGATGCTAATCAAGATGAAGAACAAGTATATGAAGATATCGATACTCATATGATCGATTTTATTTCACAATGAAACATAATATAAAATTTTGAATATAATCAAGATTGATTTTGTTAAATATATACTCACGCGTTCACGATAAAAATAAAACTAATTATATATAATATCAACATATAATCTTGAGGGTGTGAGGGTGATGTTGTGAGTATGTACATATGAGTATTATGCCCATATCCTCTTCTTCAGTTTTATGTCTTGAAATAATTAATGTTATAACAAAATCATATTTTTTTGGTATTGCAATTACTTGTTATTCGAATCAATAGAACATTATAGAATGAGAAGAACCAGACAAAAATAAGAGTAAAAAGTACATCTACAGTATTAAAAAGGAAGGAAAAGGTCTCTCAATTTTATTTTTAAGGTATAATTATTTGTATCGATACACTTTACCTTTATTTTTTATCTCTTCACTGTTTAATATTTAATTAACTGTATACATGCGTATCGGATATTACTATCAGAATCAAATAATAACATTTTCTTTTTTCATCAAAATAAATACTCATTCGAGAAAAGTAAAGATATTTATGCAAAGACAAAATAAGGTCAGTATAGATTTCTTTAATATTTTCATTTTAGTATTTCAAATCTAACACATTAAAAAGAGAGAATAACGTTCGATGATGAAGCATTGAAATGAGTGTGGGTGATGTAGATGTGAAGAGAAGACAATTAACGACACCCATGCCCACGCCCACGCCCACGCCCACCCACACAAGATGTCGTGAAACTGAGAAAATTTTGTTACATCGCAAAACCTGACAAGCAACTGTTTATATAGTATATTGTTAGAAACTTCCAATCATGACGCATTTTGGTTGTTCTTTTCCAACAGCTCTTTATGCCACTTCAATCACTCTCTATGAATAAACAGTTTAAATATATTACCACAGCAAGAAAATAAACAAAGGAAGTGGCCTGAAGGTGTGGGTGGGTGAGGGTGTGGGTGTGGTGGGTGTTAGTGAGGATATCAATCACTCCTAACCCACACCCACACCCATCCTTTTAATGGTACACCAAATACTATATTTACGATTTCATGCCCAAATTGGTTTGATAAAGATATTATTAAAGATTATTCGTTGTATTGTATCTAAATTTTTTTTTTCTATAATTTAACAAAAAAATATAATATTTTTATATTAGATTGGACAAATGATCGAGCGAAACAAACAATCATTGCTTTTTTACCGATTTCAGAATTTCAAGTTCGATTATTATCGGGAATCAACAATTTAAAAAGTTTAAATAATAATTCATCAACTCGATTACTTTCAAATGGAAATCAAAATATAATTGGACAAGTTATTGCTTTACTATCACATGAATTGAGTAAAATTAATAATGAAACGATCAATTACGCTACGGCAGGTTAATTATTCTATATAAATATTATAAATAATAACACTAACGTTTGTGTAGCTGACATTCCAATTGCAAGTATTTCTATATCTTCATTAGGCACTCAAATTTCACAACAACTAATTTTATTCAGTTGATTCTCTTATATTTTATAATACTTTTAAATAGATTTCCATACCATTAAATGAATCAGTTCTGTTTGATAATATAATAAACAATTGAATTCTCTAGCAAATTTTCGAGAAGTTTTAATCGAATTCACAACTAATCTTACAATAGTATCAATAAATAATATTAAATTACAATTCTTGTCGTTAAGTCAATTAACGAGAACCGGTTTAGTAAAGAAATTTAATTGTTTTCTATGCTATAATATAATTTCAATAACAACTAGATAACTGTACCGAAGAAAACTGATCAATTAGTTCGTCATTTATATTCTATATCAGAAAGAATTCCATATGAAGCGATGTTCAAATAGCAGCAACACAGCTTATTCAATATGCTAGTAATATTCTAACTGTAAGATATTTAAGATAATGAAGAACTTACATTTGATAATAAACTTAAGCTGTAAATGGACCATATTACAACAACGAATAAATCTTCTTGATTCAGATTTAATTATTACTAAAAGTGATTATTCACGAAATATCTATTATCAAAAAAAATTAGCAAATGAAATAATATCATTATTAATATCAGATTTAAATATTGATTTTAATCTAGGACAAAACTTACCAATAAATACAGCTCAAGTCTTTTTCTCATTAAAAATATTATTGATGCAATATTTATCAAATAAATGTATTAAACAAGTTGGACATGCCGAAATTTATATTCCATCAATTTTTAATAAAAATAAAATGATTTCACTTCGAATTTGTTTCTCTTTTGAAAGAATTTCTTCTATGTAATGGTTGTTCTAGACACAGATGGAACCAATTCCTTCATTTGCAAATTCTCAATCAAATACAACTAATCTTTCGACATCAATCTCACTTTCATTCCTTGATCGAAATGAAACAGAAATCTTTCTTATTTATTTATTTATCAATTTGATCATTCTCTTAGCTTCAATCAATTGGATGGATGGACTCCGTTTTGTTCCTCAAGTTGGTTATACTTTTAAATGTTAACGTTCACCATTCATGTAAAAAATAGTATAAAAAACACTTAAAAAAGGTTCACTTATAAGTGATCTCTTCTTTCATAGATTTAAATAATAAAAATCTATACATCAGGATGTTATTATTTAGATAAAAATAATAATTGGCAATCTAATGGAATTTTGGTAAGTCATATACATTTCTTGAAGAAACATTTTTATTTTTAATAAAGGTTGGATCGAAAACAAATCTTAATCAAACTCAATGTTTAACTACTCATTTCAAATGATTTTCAAAAGAATTATTTTCTTTTCACAAACATTATTTTTATATTTTCATTTAAAGATGGATGCTATATTACACACATCATCAATAGATAAATATATTCGTCAATTGTTATTGATTTATAAGATTCATTGGTTATATTTTTTTTTATTATGGTATGGTATGAACCGGCTGATATTAATTTTCATTTAATGGGTTTAATATATTTTTGTTTGAAAACAATTCTTGAAAATATTCTTTTTTTGTACATGATAACAAAGCTTTACTCATAAAAAAGATTTTGTTTTTTTCCTTTTTTTTTAATTATTTCCCACATTTCAATCTCTTATGTCAACTATGAAGAGGGTGAAAAAGCGGCAAAGGTATAAGAACATGATGATGATCAACGAGAGAAGAGAACAAAGAGCATCAAAAAAGAAAGATAAAAATCTCAATAGTATAGGGATCAGTTACTGCTATAGAGTGACATCTGTTGACACTAACAAGTTGTGGAAAATTTAACGCCAAAATTCTGCTATTTGTCTGAGCTATCTGATCATACGATTCAGAGAAAAATCTATCAAAAGATTGTTACCATCATATTGAATGCTAGATTTGTTTATTGGATAAAATACATCAGTCGCAAAGTGAGTCAAAAATAAGACGTCATTAAAATAATTAGATGTGAATCACGAAATGGATTAGCGCATATGCATGCGCATCGAGCCGTGGGTGTGGGTGTGTATAGTGAAGCAACGTAAAGAAAATAATTTATCACACCCATTCAATAAAACAAAATATCCGTCGATAAGTTACCAAACAAATTAACGTATATGGCTCGCAAACAAGATACAAACATAGAGATTTTTGATTTCGTAATGCATACCAATGACTATGAGATGAACACATTCAATGATATTGTCAACAACAACAGACCTGAAGATAAACAGGTATAGTTTACAGAGCTAGTACGAAAATAGATGTATTTTTACTTCCAATATGAAACTTGACAGTTATACATAGTTAGAACAGTTATTATCAGCTTCAGTTTTTCAAGATATTCTAAGCGTATATTATCGTATTATGAATTTAATAAAGATTAAAAAGACTCATCGTTAGATTTTTCCATATTGTTCAAAATTTAAAATTCATTTGTATAAAATTTTTGATAATTTTTATATCACAATATGAATGAAAAATATTTCGTTTTACAACAATTAGGCTATATGTAGATTAGATTGGATGATTTTTAGCTAGTTTAAAATATTTGCAACCAAACTTTAGCAAATCTTATCAATGATCCGAACATGTGGCGAAGTAGCAATCTTTCTCAGAGTATAAATTATCGATCTGACTTCACATATTCTTATTGATGCTTATTTTTCGATTAGTTGATGTCATAGTAGTCTCTTTTGTACAAATTTAGTCCTAAAAAATGTGTCTTAGTTTCTGAGTAATTTTTTCCTTTCATATAGAAATGTCCTGCCAGCCGTTTACATGATAATTCTTTCAAAATATCATCCAATTGTGATGAAATTATACATACAGATATGTATCATCAATATCTCGGTCGAGTTTAAAGAAATTGCCTAGTTATAGAGAAGAATGTCATTATTTTGTATGATGTTATATGCGAATATGGACTTGTGCTCAGTTTTCGAAAAACCATCTTGAGGGTGGGTGTGGGTACTATTTTTTTTCTTCCATTCTTATCTATACCCACACCCACACCCTGAATAATTGCTTAATAATCCTTTATTATCAATGATTAAATGTCTCCATCATCTATGAAAAGAATTTTTCTCTATTTTTATAGCAAACACCATTCATATTCGATGATGAAAAGACAAATATTCGAAGACAACTAATGAAGATAGTTCCTGAGATCAACAATGATTCACTGAATGCGTATGAAAGATTGCATCTGAACTCGAAAGAACCGGAGACAGTCGATCAAACACAAACGGTAGTAACAACGGAGAGTTCCAATAATACCATGGAAAACTATATGACACGAAATCCTCGAGTGGTAGATACTGTTATTGTGGATCACAATGTGATGTCTATAAACTACATGAGTCAGATCAAAATAGATTTTAGTCCTGTTGTAGAATATGCTCAAGAGAACATATTGCCACTGTCGAAGGCATGTATTCCGCTGATAAATATCGTCGATGATATCTTAATTTACGTTCAATTGGCACTGTATCACACTCCCGAATTACCACCTGATGACTTGACAATCGATGAAAGTGCGGCAATTCGTCTCTATACAATGGAATGGAAAGGAACACAGCCAAGTCTCTATTCGATGCTCAATAACACTCTGAGGATGGGTGAAAACGAGCGTCTTCGACCTTATTTCAAGTATTTGAAACTATTATTGACTGCTATAGTCAAACTACCCTGCGTTGAACCACAAACTATTTGGCGAGGAGTGCCCAAAGATGTAAGTGAAGATTTTTCGTCTGGAACTTCAGTAACATGGCGAGCATTTTCATCATGCACCTTTACAATGCCTGTATTGGAAAATAACATATTTCTAGGCAAAACAGGCGCTCGAACGCTTTTCTCCATCGAAGCTATCAATGGTCGACTACTAAGTAAACATTCAGAAGTTGCCAACGAAGATGAAGTCCTTCTTCTACCCTGTACTCGCATGACAGTTCAATCTAAAATGAACCCGGCACTAGATCTCCACATCATTCATTTAAAACAGATAGAACCGAAGGAAATACTACTCCAACCACCTTTCAAAGGTATGTTGAATATTATCAATTGCACAGCATACGTCAAAGTATTTTTCTATGTTTAGGTGCACATATTTATCCGAAAATTAAGTAAGTCTCATCTGATTTGTATCTAATACTATCTTTCATATATCTTTTTATCATTTTATCAAGACGTCAATGGTATCGTAAGAAAAGATTCGCCATTCCATTCAGTTTACTGGCAATTATGTTGGCTATAGGAGCTATTGTCGGCTCTGTTGTGGGGTCAAGATTAGTCGACAGCAAGTCAGGTATGCTTTTCAATAGAGCGTGACAGTATAATGGATAGACAGATATTGCGATCGGCATCATTTAGATTAAATGGCTTTGTCGAGTTGAGGGTTTATATATCTTAGTTTTCTTTTCAACAACTGCAATTTATAGAGTTCACTCAAAACCATTGTCAAAATATCTATAACTTTTTCAGTTTTATCTCATAATATCTCGTTATTGTAGGCGTCTGTAAAAATCCTTATACAAGTTCAATAAGCATCAAGACAGGCTCCTATCCTCGATCTGTAGCAGTGGGCAAGTTCAATAACTATAACAAACAATTGTATCTAGCAGTAGCCGATCTGTTCGATAACGAAGTTGCAATATTATTTCCAAATGGCAATGGAACTTTTGTAATGCAGCAGTCACAGTACTCTCTTGGTGTTCCACCAGCATATTTAACTGTAGGTGATTTTAACAATGATCATAAACTGGACTTAGCAATAGCCATAAGGGTTCAAAATTCAATTGCTGTATGGATTAATAACGGAAATGGAGAATTCGAGAGTAATCCAAGTCTGTATAGCACTGGTATAGGTCCGAACTCTGCGATATCAACTGATCTCAACAATGATAACATGTTGGATTTGGTAGTAGCTAATCGAAACGACAATAGTATTAGTGTGCTGCTTGGCAATGGTGATTCGACTTTTCAGAATCAAATCAAGTATACGACTGGCAGCCAACCTATGTCTGTAGTAGCAGGTGACTTTAATGGCGACAACAAATTGGATTTGGCAGTTGCGAATGATGGTGATAATACAATTAGCGTGTTGCTCAGTTCAGGAAATGGATCTTTTCTGCCTAAGAAAACATTTAATACTAGTAGCTCTCCACAATGTGTAATATTAGGTGATTTCAACAACGATGAAAAACTAGATCTAGTAGTTACTAACGCAGGCAACAATACTGTGAGCATACTTCTTGGGATGGGAGATGGAAATTTCCAGAATCATATTCAGTATGCAACTGGCAATTATCCCACTTTTGTAACAGCAGGTGATTTCAACAACGATGAAAAATTAGATATAGCAGTGGCTAATCAAGGCGGTACTACGGTAAGCGTGCTTCTTGGAATTGGAAATGGAAGCTTTCAATCGCAACAAATCTATCTGACTGGCTCAGCACCCCAATCCGTGATATCAGTAGATGTCACCAACGATAACAAATTAGATTTAGTCGTAGTCAATAATAACGACATGACCGGCAGTCTATTAGTTGGAAGTGGCAATGGTACGTTCGATTGTCAAAGAGTATTTACGACTGGTAATAGGCCTACATCTGTCGTATCAGGAAATTTCAATAATGATAGCATACCTCAATTAGTAGTAGCCAATGTCGGTGATGGAACTATCAGCATGCTGTTTGGTGATACTAGTGCAAGATTCGCGATTCGTCAGTCGGCATATACGCCTGGCAATTTACCTGCGTCTGTAATATCATTTGACTTCAACAATGATAACACGTCAGATCTAGCAGTAGCCAATTTTTACGACAATACTGTCGTTGTGCTAATTGGCAATACTAATAATAAAACCTTTCAGTTTATAGGAACTTATCAAACTGGAAGTGCACCCCTCGATTTAGTATCAGCTGATTTCAACAATGATGGCGTGGCAGACTTGGCAGTTGCTAATTCTAACGATGCTAGTGTAAGTGTATTACTTGGCAATAGAAATCAAACCTTTCAAAATCAAATGATATATGCGACTGGTAACGCTCCGATCTCTCTGATTGCTGGTGATTTCAACAACAATGGAAGAATGGATCTAGTAGTGGCTAACAATGGAGAGTCTAGTGTGAGTGTACTGTTAGGAATTGGAAATGGTTTGTTTCAAAATCAAACTAAGTATGCGACTGGCTCTGCTCCCAGCTCTTTGACCTCCGATGATTTCAACAACGATGGAAGATTGGATTTGGTAGTGACTAATAGTGATAATAACACCGTCAGCGTGCTATTGGGGATTGGAGATGGAAGCTTCCGAGATCAAACCACTTATATGACTGGTGCATCTCCTTACGCCGTGGTCGCAGGCGAATTTAACAATGATGGAAAACAAGATCTGGTCGTAGTTAACTACAAGAATGATTCTATCAGTGTACTGCTTGGTAATGGTGATGGGACTTTTCAATCTAAAAACGATTATCCGACGGATGACGGCCCGTGGTATATGATATCAGCTGATCTCAATAATGATAACAAATTGGATCTTGTAGTAACCAACACATTCTCTGGGGATTTGAGTATTTTCTACAACTCGTGCACGTAATTGATATATAAAAGGATTATGTCATAAAATATAATAAAAAAAAGTATATAATATCTTCTATCGTTTTTATTTTTCAATTTGTTCAGATTGACACAATTAAAAAGCGTTCCGAAATTCTTGAGGGGTGGGTGTGGGTATGGATAAGAATGGCCGAAAAAAAAATAGTACCCACACCCACCCCTCACTTCTGAATTTTGATAATTATACCCTCTGATTATTTACTAAGAATATTTATTACCCAATTGTGAAGTCAAAACAAATTTACATGAAAGAATCTTTTATATGTTTCAGTATTGTTTTTTGCGTTCTATAATAAAGAACTTGTCGAAAGAAAAATAAAATACTGCGCGTGAGTTGATCACGATATTAAAGAGAAAGATAGATTTTTTCTATACTCTTCTTTTTCTTTATTTATTCATTGAATTGTTTTTGTGAAATGAACTCAACTTCTTCAATAACAATAATGAGCTTTCAAAATAATTCAAATGTGACAAATCTCGAGATATGGATCATTCCTTGTGATATTTTGCAGCTTGTCCTGAATGTTGTAGCTGCGGTACTTGCAATAATTTTTTTGTTTTTTGTGGCTATTGATAAAAAATGTCATACAATTCCGATGATGTTAACAATCAATTCATGTCTATCTGAATTTATACTTACAAATACTTTATTTTGGGCAGGTATATTTACATTAATAAATGATCTTCAACAAATTCAATACAAAGATTCATTTTGTGTATTTCGATGTTATCTTATTCATTGTGGATGTTTCCTACAAGGTCATTCTTATTTATTACAAGCTATATATCGATATATAAAAATTATTTATCCAAGTCGTTTATCATGGCAATCAAGACAAAGTCAGTTATTACTTATTGGAACAATATGGATATTAGCTTTTGTACATGCCATTCCTTTTTTATTTTTTGATGGAATTGTATACAATGTTGACAATCAAGTATGTCAAATGATTCTTGGATTTTACTTCTTAATGATATATATGATGTTTGTCGATTATATCCTTCCTATGATATTAATTATGCTTGTTTATTTTAAATTACTTCGATATGTTAAAAAAATGGGTAAACGTGTAACATCAACAAATACTTTATCACGTGCACAACGAGAATTAAAAATGGTTCGACGTGCAGTTATAATGATAACAACTATAATTACAGTCGGTTTTCCATTTACACTCTTTATGATTATGGCATTTTTTGATAGTGCACCAAAATATCATTTTAGAATTATATTTTTATTCGGTAGTCTTTCAATATTAGTTGTTATGATTATTTTATTTCAATTTACAGATTCACTTAAAATATCTATTATCAAAAGAATAACAAAGCGTTCAAATAAAGTACTACCTACACTGTCATAAATGACTGTCATTAAAAAGATTTTAAATATTAAAGTGTATTTCTATTCTATGAACTTGAATAAAACTTAAAACAGAAACATTATATTTTGCTCTTTTTTTTACAAAAAAAACTATTAATTAGCCAATATTTTATTGCAAATAGTGATATACTTAATTTAGATCTCTTCTCATAGTTTTATTTTTTGAAAAAATTCACTAAATATCCACAGTTAAGCTATATATGATAATATTGCTCATGTTAGAAACAAAATCTGAATTAAAATTTCCACTATGAAAGAATTTTACATACGCGGTTGTTCCGTATGAATTATATTTGTATCAAACTTCTTCGTTTATTCAAGAAAAGTCGGCGGCCATATATAGGTCAGTGAAAGAAATAAGAAGAACACGTAAATGGACAAGAAAAGCGAAGTTTAGATATCATCACCTAACAGGATCATCAAAAACATATGAGATTTCATTATATTTATTTAGAGAGACAACATTTCATCTATCTATCTATATCATTTCTCTTAATAGATATAACGAAATACGAAAGCTTTTTCTGTATTCTATGTAATGTGCCCTGAATACTAATAAAACACAATTATCTCTAATCTTTTAAAAAAAATTTAGACTAATTAATAGCATCCAGTCGTCTTCTTTACTGAAAGAACTAATGGAAATTTGCTTTTAAAAGTATTTAAAAATAAAAAGTTCTAAAAAAAAACACATGAGAACATGAGACGTCTTCCAAAATTGTTTTATTTATTGATTTTCTCATGGCATAATAGCTTTTAAAAAACAATTTGTACTATTCTTGCTGGTGAAAATGAATGATGTCGACAACATCAGATAATATTGACATTTCTATATTTTCTTGCTACCGTTGTAATTATGAATCTATAAAGTACATAATTGTCTGCAACAAAATCTTCTTTTGCATTGTAAAAATATGTCTTATTCTAATCTACAACAGAAAATCATTCGTATGAGGGGAAAAAACGACTTAGACACTTACATTCAACTTTCGGTTGAGATTGCCGCATCAATACAATATTATTAAATAGAAAATTATTTTTGGAATCAAAACTACTTTGTATGTATGTGACAAAATAAATTAAATACGTAGTTGGCTGAGAATGGGTGTACGTGAGTGAGTGTTGTTGGAAGTTTGATTCCATGACTACACCCATGTGGCGATTAATCCAAAGTCGAAAAATGTTTATTTGTCCTGTTGAACTTGCATTTCTCAAAATCTATTGAATATGATGTTCTCAAAAATATTTTGGTTACTCATTTTGAGCAATTGATTCTGCTTCTTAAAATTATTGAAATAATAGTTAAGCCTTTGTATTTTAAACATTTATTAACAATAGTCAATATCGATAAAGATAACAGAGAAAAAGAGGGTGTGAATATGATTAAGATTAGTATAAAACTCACATCCCCTTCAAGATGCGTCATACCAATGAATAATTGATCGAGATAAAAGAAAAAGAATATAAATATATAAACAGATACCTAAATATAAATAATAAATTTTACTGATGAGAAAGAAACTCATTCGATAAGACGTATAAAAGCATCTCACTCGTGAAAATCATGGAAATATCTAACCATAAATAATAAATTTTACTGATGAAAAACAAACTCATTCAATAAGACATGTTAAAGCATCTCACTCGTGCAAATCATGGAAGTACTTAACTAAAAATAATAAGTTTTATTGACGAGAAAGAAACTTATTAAATGAGACGTATAAAAGCATCTCACTCGTGAGAATCATGAAAGTTCCTGATTAAAAATAGTACGTTTTACTGACGGGAAAGAAACTCATTTGATAAGACATGTTATAGTATCTCACTCGTGAAAATCATGGAAATATCTAACTATAAATAATAAGCTTTGCTGATAAAAAACAAACTCATTCGACAAGACGCGCTAAAGCATCTCACTTGTTAAAGTCAGTGAAATCTCTAGCTGTAAATAGTAAGTTTATAACGATTAAGACCAAATTCATTTGAAAAAGTATTATTTAAGGTTCTTTTATCTTTACAGAGAGCTGCTGACTATAGCATTGCGTTTCAATTTAATAGTAGAAGTATTAGAATGATTCGATAACTACATTGATATTATCTATATTTACATCAATAAAACGAATTGAATTATCATAGATCCGAGTCGCTATCCTATGTAATGTAGTGAATACTCGACAAATCTGGATATATTTCGTTATAAACTGAGATTCACACTTAGAAACCTTCGCTCGTAAATATAGATACATCCATTTTATCTGTGACATAAGTATGAAAGGAATGATGAGAAATAATAAGCAAAACCAAGTACGTGTGTCAATAAATGTATAATTATAGAAAAATTTACGAGCTTTCAAAATATGTTTATATATAGTAAAAATAAGTAGTGTTTGTTTTTCGAGAAAATCAATTCTTACAGTCCGCTTTATTTCTGTTTGATGCTTTTAAATGTAAATTCAAATGTGAAAGATTTGAAATCTATTCATGACAGTTTAGAAACATTTTTCTGTTCCTTGATTATGTTAAAATCTTAATGTAAAAGATAAAATTATTTTTACATATTGTTTTCTCTTGCAGTATGCAATTATTCTAATTGAACGTTAAGTTATAAACTTCAAAGTCGAATCTCTCAGATGATTGGATGCGTAATACGTTGATCGATGTATAATTATTATACTGTTAAATGGACACAATCTCCGCAGCTGTCACTTACTTTTTTCATTTTTAAGAGTTCGATCAAACTCTCTCGTTAACATTTCGAAGATGTCAAAGATATAAGTACATTATTAAATTTGTCCTTTTAGTTTTTCTTCTCTAATATAGTACTTATTCATGTTTGAGTTGCCATCTAATAGTGCAATTAGAAAACAAAGAGACAGCAAAGAAATCTCATTAAAGAATTCATTAATAGATAGATTTAATATATTTAATTCGATTACAATGTCTTCAAACTCAACAGAAGCAGCTCTAATTGCAACTTTAGCTGCTATTACTACACAAATCAATCGTTATCTACCAATCGGTATTTTTTTCTTTGGTATAATTGGTAATCTTCTCAATTGTTTGGCCCTTTCTCAACGAACACTACTTTCCAATTCTTGTTCTTTATTATTTCTCGCATCATCTATTGCCAGTCTGATTACATTGATCGATGGTGTTGGTGTTCGTTTCTTAACTGGTTGGTCTGCTGATCTAACCGCAACGAATGATATTCTCTGTCAAATTCGTTTTTTCTTTTTATCTACATCAAGAACTGTTGCATTCTGGTTGATTTCATTAGCCATAATTGATCGATGGCTTTTATCATCGATTAATGTTCATCGTCGACAAATGAGTACATTGAAAAATACTCAGCGAGGCATTATTTTCGTCATTATTCTCTCAAGTTTAGTGTATGTCCAATACTTTTATTGTTTTGTAGCAATTCCTATCGATTATCCAATAACATGTTATGGAAGATCAATATTATGTCGATTAATTCACAATTTGGAATTTGCTTTACTTTCAGTTCTTATTCCTTCTTTATTAATGATTATTTTTGGATTAATGACCATTCATAATGTTCATAAATCTGCTCTACGTCAAGTTCAGCCAATTATCGCAACATCATCAACACAAACAACTGTTGCCAACGAAAGATCGGCACGAATGAAGAAAATCGACCATCAACTTCTTATCATGCTTTGTGTACAAACTACTCTCGTAATTCTCTTTTCACTTCCTCAAGCTTGTTACAGTATTTACACGGTTATTACTCAATACGATATCAGTTCTCCACTTACGAATGCCATTGATACTTTACTTCTCAATGTATTCATATTGTTTAGTTATGTGACCAACGGAATGCCATTTTATGTGTACACATTAAGTGGTGGAACAGTTTATCGCAAAGCATTTTTCGATAGATTACAAGACTTTTCTCGAATGATCATTTGTCGATGAAATTCTTTCATTCAGTTAAAAAAAAGAATCTTGAGAATTTGGATACTGTTTCTTCACTCATTAAGACGTATTTTCTCTTGTGATTATATGTTTAACAATAAAAGAATCATCTACTAGAACTTTTATTTCTCCTGTTGAAGGACATAAAGGATAAGAACAATATTCAATATCAAGTTGGTGTTATCAATGTTTTAATTTTTAATAAATAATAATTTCAAATAGAAAAGTTCGATTTTTTCTTTTTCTTGTTTAAATATATATATAAAGCAGAGAAGCAATTAAAGTTAGCAAGAATCTGTTCACTTCTACAACAGATACAACAAAACTCGATTTTGATATCACCAAAAAACCAGTCTGTATTACCAGTAGTTCTAAAACAAAGATAAGAAAAAGATTCCTGTATTCATTTACTATCTATAGTGACCGAAAAGCCCAGTTCTGTTCAAAATCAGCTAACCATTGTTCATCTGACCATAATTTCAAATCAATATAGGGTGAAATAGTCAAATCTAATTGTTTCATTAACATACTCATGACATTATTACATCGTGCAAAGATTCTCAATTTACAAAGATCATCATATGTTGATAAGAGACTTACTAATAATAACCATTTTTTGTCCCGATTGTAAATTCATAGATAGAAGTTCACATGCAGGTGAAACTTGCATAGATGTTCTCATATATAAACTTAAATCACATAGTTGCGATTCATTCGTGGCTTTATCTAAACAAATATCAGGCATCGGTTGACTAAATGAAACCGTTGTACAACGTAAACGACCGTTACAATTTGGCACTGTACACATATTTCCTGTAAGCCAAGTTTTTTTTTATATTGTCTGATACGTAACTGTCTATAATAGATTTTTCAACATTTTGCACAAGCTTCATAATTGGAACTGCCGTGTAATTCAGAAATTTTATCCGGTGATATGCCACTTTTCAAATGTAGACCATCACAATTTTGAGAAATTAAAAATTTCAAATAATTCTTTTTCATCAATTCCACATAAGCCATATCAGTTAATGTTGGTTCAGGATTAGGAACCGTTCGTGATGGTAGAACAATACCTCTCGCTCGAGCAGTCCAAACACCTGAAGGACCACGAAAATCATTGATACCCGCAGTCCTGCTCTAGTATAAAGAACAAAATGTTTTGCAGCACGAATAAACTGTGCTAAAGTTTTGATTTTTTAATCCAATTCATCTATATACACAAAGTTATGACATGCATATGAAAAAAAAGACAAAAAATCTGATCTGGTGTGTCAAAATATTCTGTAATTTTATCATCATTAAGCGCGGTGCATGCCACGATCAAAAGATTTTTTCCAATACTATATTAAGAAGAATTGATAAAGTATATAATCGATTGGGATGTAGCTTATTATTACCTCAGTTGTAATAAATCAATGTATTATCTGAGAATACGAGAAAAATGTCAATGTGAGTAGACATATTAATCAATTCTATGATAAAAAGGATAGAGAAGAAAAACAAGTAAGAGAAGAATAGAAAATATGATTCATAGAAGTTGTATACGTTTATGGAGGGTATAGGTAGTGAGTATAGATACGATATAAATATGATACCTACACCCATCTTCTAATATTAATACCAACAACATCGTACAGTCTGATTATTTCTCGCTAACAACTGCCAATGATATATTTGTTGAAAAAAGTTCTGCGATTCTGTCACAATAGATCAACACAGTCTTTTGAATTTATTTTATATTAACGCATTCTATTTATCATCATGTCTGACCATATCTCCGTAACAGTTATGATTGTTGGTGTCAAATAAAATACAATGTATGAAAGCATAATCAACTAATTGAGAAAGGAGCTCAGGAAATATAGTAAGGAAAACATATATAGCAGCAATTGCAAGCGAATATCAGTCTGTTTCAGGTCAGACTAATCGAGAAGGTCTCTTTACAATCAACAAAGATTAACCACATAAAACAAATTAATTCATTTAAAAAAGCATTTCACAAGAAACGTTGATACTTAAGGAAATATTTACATTTGCCTATGAACCAGTCCATTTAAGTCATCTAGCGGGTGTGGATGGTGAGTGTAGATACGATTTGAATATGATACTCATACCTACACCCACACCGCTGTTTGGGTATGGATGTGAAGAATATCACAAGACTGAACTATCAATCATAGATATATTCATAAGGAATGTTAAAGGATGATTGTCATATCACTTACAATTGGATGAGCTTTATAGTTGTGAAACTATTTGTAGTCCACGCTGTCTGATTAGGGGTGTTACTTTATCTTTATTTTACTTTATAATAAAGATAATATTTGTTTTAAAAATAAAGATAAAGAAATAAAGTCATAATCTTTATATTTGTTTTATAAAGATAAAGAATTTTTTCGTAATCTTTATAAAATAACGATAAAATAAAAAATAAAGATTTTTTTTTCTGTCAAAACGTACTTTTTTATTTTCTTATAGTAGCTCACAAAAAATTAGGATATTATATAGTTAACCATAATATGGAATAGCATTTTTCGTATATATCGTTTCTTGTGTGTTCCTTTTTTTTGATGATATGGTATATGGAAGTGGTGATGATGATAAGCAAGATCATTAATAAACATATTCTACTATTATACAGGGTATTTGCATACGTACTTATTGCATGAAAAAACGTATATTTATTCTTTATTTTAACTGTAATTTTGCAAATAAAGATTATCTTTATCTTTATCAATAAAGTAAAGATAAAGTGATACCCCTATATCTGACTGAGGATGTTGCTTTCTGCATTGACTCGATTGCCATCATGAAATCAGTGAGAAAACGACAAAGTCAGCAATGTTTCTTTTGAATTATCTAAAAGAAGTTCAAATTGTCTCTGATATTCTGTTATTGATATGACACTCGATTACACGGACTGAACTTCTGCCTCATGAAACTCAATCCAAATTGATCGATTCATTTGAAATCAAAGCCTTAGTCAGGCGGTGGCTCGGAAGTTCCTCTTCTCCGTCCTCTACAAAAGATAATTCCCGTGGAAGTCGAGTAGCTGCTAAGTCAAAATTATCTGATGAGACCCTTGAGCAAGATCGAAATTGATTCACCCCTTTAAGAACTTTACCAACGGTAGCTTGAATCATATCCTCACACATTCTTACCTGTTGTATACCAGATTATCTGCTGTTTGTTCAAAAATAATTCTTAAATTAATATTGGAAGTCATTTTGATTTTTAATTTAATTTAGGATTTGTTTTGTTATGCAGATTGTTGAAACCACCTGATCCCTCTAATATAAGACTCGAAATATAAAGGAGAGAGAGAGAGAGAGATAACTATCTACTACTCGAAAAGGTAACAAACAAAAAAAGATAAGACTAAAAGTTACACTTCTATTAAAGCATATGTAACTTATTCAAAACGCAGTTGAATGTACCAAGAGTCGAGAATATAAATATACAATTTTATATGTTAGATTTTTTTCAAAAAAGAGGACCATGGACCATTTTGTGTTCGTTCTCTTTTTTTTATACCTTATTGGTATTGTGGGTAAGTTTGCTGAGATGACTTTTCGAAAAAATATTACAAAAAATCTTTTTTAATTGTTGTAGCTACATCACGTATTCCTGATGAAGGTTAGTAGGTTAAAAAGTTCTTTTTTTTGTCATAAATCGTACTTTTTTATTAAGACCCAGAATGGAAAAATGACCTTGACAATAACCAGAATTTAGAATGGCATCAATTCCCCTCTACAACAGCAGGTAATTATTTTAATTTTGATTTATTTTGAAGTTGCCTAGCTTTGTTGTATAGAAAAACGCTCATTTATTCTAAAATATCCTGATGATAAAGAAATTCTACAATCATCTGAACAGCATTCTGCTCGTTTAATAGGCACCGCACATTTAGCTTCACGAAATTCACCATCTTGTCTTACTTTTACCTATCAAATAACTGGTGATAAAACAAACAAATTGTCTATTTTTATTGATAAACAACATATTTGGCGTAGTCGATTAGTTCAAGAACATACGTTTGAATAAAAATATTTTCTTTTTTATTTAATTTATTTAACAAAAATACAATCTATCTAGTCAAACTCAAGTTCAGTTGAATATTTCATCTTCAACAACAACTGGTTTAACAAGAATAGCAACTCGTATTGCTTTCGATGGACAATTAACAGACAATATAGAAATTAAATTAGAAGATATGTTAATCAATCATCAACCATGTCCTTCATGTACGATTTGTTTTTAAATGATTTAAATATATTAAATTTAATTGTTTTCTTAGCTATAAAATCGTCTCCTTCTCGAACAATTCGATCAGTAACATCGAAAGCTGTTCTTGGTTATGATTGTACATTTGAACAAGACATGTGTGGTTGGACACAAGGTCAAAATACTACTCTCGATTGGTTTCGTGAACAACCAGCATCAAATCCACTTGCTGATGTTATTGGTCCCTTAACTGATCATACATATGGAAATTCAACTGGATATTATGTTACCTGTAGAAAAGAAATTCCAGACATTCGTTTTTCAGATATTGATATATCAGCTTTGGTTAGTCCACGTTTACCAGACAATACAGCAGGTCCAATGTGTGCTGATTGGTGGTATATGATGCATGGTACAGATGATATTGAATTAAATCTTTTTTTAGTTGCTAATGAAAATTTTACTTCACCAAAATCTTTTTGGAGACGATCAGGTAATCAAGGACGTCATTGGCACCATGGTCGAGTACAAATTTATCCAGGAAATCAAATAACACGTGTTATGTATTATATTTTTGCAAGATGGAATATTCGATCAGAAGTTTCATTAGATGATCTTACACTTATTGATGGACCATGTATTAAATCAGATTTTTATACAATTGATTGCACATTTGAAGAAGAACATATTTGTGGATATTTATCTGATCCAACTGGACAATTTCCATGGAATAGAGGTCAAGGCTCAACACCATCAGCATTAACCGGTGCTAGCCAAGGTAATAAAATCATTTTTATTATATTTATTTTATGTTTTTTTAAATCAAATTTGAATGTTTAGATCATGCACTAGGAACAGCACAAGGTCATTTTATGTATATTGGTAATCCACAAAAAGCGGGTTACAAAGCACGATTAATATCAGTTGTTGAAGAACCAGAAAAAGGTCGATGTTTAGAATTTTGGTATCATATGTACGGTCAAAATATTGGTCAATTAAATGTTTATATAAATACAAATACATCGAACAATGATGTCCGTACCCTTATATGGTCACGTGGCGCTAATATTGGTGATGTATGGCGTAAAGCTCTTGTTTCAACTGAATATACAGTATCATTTCGTATTATATTTGAAGGTGTTATTGGTAATGGTATCGAAGTAAGTCAGAAAGTTTCGTTTTATTTTACAAATTAAAGTTTTTGAAATATTATTTTTAGGGTGATATTACAATTGATGATATTCAACGTTTAAGTAAATCATGTAAAGAACCAAATAATTGTGATTTTGAAGATGATAATTTATGTGGATGGGAAAATATTAAAACTGATCAATTTGATTGGGAGATAACAAGTGGTGCATCATCAACAGGGACATTTGCTAGTGGTAAGGAAATATATACAATAGAAAGAAAAACTTTAATAATTTTATTTTATTCTAGGTCCATTTCAAGATCATACATTCGGAACAGATAAGGGTTCATATGCATATATTGATACAAATAAAAATCGAAATATAAATGATACAGCTATACTTGTTTCACAATCAATGACAGATACTGGTGTCAATGGAATGTGTCTAGAATTTTTCTATCATATGTAAATATTAAAAATTTTTATTTTGAAAAGAAAATGTATTGAAATGTTTTTTTAAGGTATGGTCTAGGGGCTAGTAGATTAACAGTTTATTTACAAATGGAAGGTTTTCAACCATTGCCAATGTGGACATTGGCAGATGAACAAGGAGATGCTTGGTTTCAAGGAAAAGTTGGTTTTGCTGCCAATAATGATCATTCAATTTTAATCGAAGGGAAAATAACTCAATATGGAGAAGGTGATATTGCTCTTGATGATATATCAATAACCAATGGATATTGTACATTACTTCCACAACATGCAGTACCGGAATCTGGTTTAACTACAACAGCACCAATAACAACAGTGTTAGTTGACAAATGAAATTGTTTTTATTGAATTTAATATATATTCTCTACATTGTTTTTAGAACAACACCATCACATCCACCAACAACTTTTGACTGCGATTTTGAAAGTACTGCATGTGCATCATGGAGTATCGTTTCTAAACCTGAACTTACTTGGACACGAGCCCAAGGTGTATCGACAACACAAGAAGATGCACATAATCCATTATATGATCATACAGGAAATCAAGCACATGGATATTATCTTTTACTCAAACCTAATACAACAACACCATTTCCTAATGTAAGCAGTGTTTTATTAGAAATATATTTTTTTCTTCAATATTTATTATAGAATAATATTACAAGTCAATTACGAAGTTCAACAATGACTGATAATCCTCAATGTTTAGAATTCTGGTATTTTATGTATGGTCCACATGTTGGCACTTTAAATGTTGAAAACTTTTCAGGAGCATTTTCACAATTACGTTGGTCAACAACAGGTGGAAAAGGTTATGAATGGTTACATGCACAAGTTAATCTTCAATCATCATCAAACAATCCAGCACAATTTATTGTTTGTTATTCTTTTATCAAACGACAATAAATTTATATTTATATTTCTTTATAGATCGCTATTGAAGGTACTTGGTCAGGAGATAATCGTGGTTCAATTGCTATTGATGATATTATTCTTCTTAATGGTACATGTCGAACATCATCTGATCAATGTGATTTTGATTCTGATGATTCAATTTGTGGTATGATACAGAAAATATAAAGAATTCTTTTTTGTAAATATATCAACATTTTTCTAAATAGGATTTCAATATAGTACAACAGGACAATTCAATTGGACACGTGGTTTAGCATCTGCTGTTCAAGCTGGTGTTAATCCAAATGTTGATCATACAAATCAAACAGGTGAAGGTTATTATATGTTAGCTGAAGGAAAAAATCGTAATCCAAATGATCGTGCATTATTATTAACACCAATTCAAGATCGTACAACTGGTTCATGTTTACATTTTTGGTATTTTCAACATGCAGCAACAAAACAAATGAAATTAAATGTTTATGTACTATCACAAAGTTCAATTCTTTGGTCTCATGATGGTAGTTTCGATAATCGTTGGTTATATGCACAGATAAATATTAATAGTCCCAGTCAATCATGGCAAGCCGTATTTGAAAGTGAAGTTTTAGCACAAAATCCAGATGTTAGGGTTGCTATTGATGATGTATCAATTACAAGAGGTCTATGCCCAAAACCAGGAGATTGTACATTTGAAAGTGATTTATGTGGTTGGACAAATAGTGATATTAACTTTGATATGGATTGGCTTGTTAGACAAGGTATACATTCATTTGGAACTGGACCACAATACGGTATAAAAAAAGAAAATATATTAAAACTGTTTTTGTTTTATTATTCTGTTTCTTTTTTGTTGATGTTGTATAGATCATACAACAAATACAGCACAAGGAAAATATTTAATGATTGAAACATCATTTCCAACAGCAGAAGGTGATCGTGCGCGATTACAAAGTGTTGTTTTTGATGAAACAAATGGAGATTCTCGATGTTTTCGATTTTGGTATCATATGTAAGTTTATATTCTATTAATAAAATGAATTCTTTATATTATTTATTTAGGTATGGTGATTCCATTGGAACATTAAATGTTTATCTTTTCAATGGTACATACACACGCTTATGGTCATTATCGGGTGATCGTGGTAACAATTGGTATGAAGGTCAAGTTTCATATGTTTCATCAATTCGACATCAAATTATTGTTGAAGGTATTGCTGGAAAAGGTTATTTGGTAAGTTAAAAATTCAATTATTTCATTTTATAAAATTATTTTTATTTATTTAGGGTGATATATCAATTGATGATTTTACATTTACAACAAGTAATTGTTCAATGCGACCAATTCATGATGCAGTACCAACAGTTGGAACAACTATACCATCAACAACAACTACACTTCGAACAACTTTAGCACCACAATCACCATTGGATTGTAATTTTGAACAAGGTGTTCTTTGTTCAACATGGTCATATGATGTGTCTGCTGATTTTCGATGGGAAGTAAGCCAAGGTCAAACATCATCAGCTAATACTGGACCTGCGACTGGTATGTAGAAAATAATTAAAAACTAATTAGTTTTCATTAAATCTTTTTCTGTCTATCAGATCATACTTATGGAACACCAAATGGTTGGTATATATATATGGAAACTAGTTATCCACAAAAATCTAATCAACGTTGTCGTATACTATCAGAAGAAATTCGAGGACAACGATGTATACAATTTTGGTATCATATGTATGGTATGGATGTTGATACGTTAAATATTTATATTAAAATAAATGGTCAACTTAATAAACCAGTTTGGACACAATCCGGAAATCGAGGTTAGCTTTCTTTTAAATATGTATATATATCTAGTTTAATTATTCATTGTTTTCTTTTATTAGGTAATCTATGGTTGAAAGGACAATATGCAGTATTTCCACCAGCAAATACAAAATATCAAATTGTATTTGAAGGCATTGTTGGACAGTAAGTTTTATAAAAATTTCTTCATTTTTATTCACTCGAGTTTATTCTAAATAATTAAGATCTTTTCACGGTGATATTGCTCTTGATGATATTGTTGTTTATGATTCATGTCCAAATGAAAATCGTCTTTGTACATTCGAAGATGCATCAATATGTAATTATGTTAATGATGCTTCAACACAATACAATTGGGTACGTACAACTGGTGATGATCCATTAGCAAGTGGTTCTAAACCAACAACTGATCATACTGATGGAACAAGTAATGGTGCATATATGCTTATTGATATTTCTAAAGCATCATCAACAATAATAAATCAACGAGCTCGTCTTATGTCACAAACAACAAGTTCTAATGGAGAGCAATGTATTGAATTTTGGTATTATACAGATGCTGACATACTTAATACATCATCAAAATTAAATTTATTTATACGATCAAGTACAACAACATCGAATTCATCTGATTATTTAATTTGGTCAAGAAGTATTTCCAACGTAAGTTATATTTATATGAAAAATAAATAACAAAAACAAACATCATTTTGAATTTTATAGGAACGTCAATGGCGTATTTCACAACAACGTATTCCACATGGTCTTGCTCTATCACCATATCAAGTTATTTTTGAAGGTGTTGTTTATAAATCCGGTGCCACTTCACCAGTTATTGCGATTGATGATGTTTTCATTCGTGATCTAGCTTGTCTCGAACCAGGCGATTGTGATTTTGAAAATGGGTAATTTTTTGTCATAAAAAAATATATATTTCTTTTATCATCAATTTTTCTTTTATTTTAGAATGTGTACATGGATGTCATTGTTACATTTTGGAAATGCTAGTTGGGTTATTGGCTCAGGTTCGTCACCGTCACCTTATAGTGGACCTCAAAATGATCATACTTTAGGTTTGAATATCATTTTTTTTTTGATAAATAGAAAAATAAAACAAATTTTATATATCTTATCTATTAAATAGGAAACACTCAAGGTCAATATCTCTTCTTGAATTCATTATTCACAGCTCAACAGACAGTAGTTGCCGTTATTCAAAGTGAAACATTTGAACCAACATCACGTGCTGGCCGTTGTATAACATTTTGGTATGTTATGCGTGGTAGTCAATTAGATCATGTTGATGTTAATATTACAAGTACACAAGGAACAACAATGATATGGTCATTTGGTACTGTTGATCAAGGTGAATCATGGCATTTTGCTTCAGTTGGTTACTATGCAGATATTGAACATAATGTAATATAAACTTTTAAATTATTACTATAGGATTTTAAAATTTTTTTCGAAATAGATTGTTATCGAAGGAACTGTTACTGCACAAATGCAAGGTTATTATGCAATTGATGATATTGATATTCGCGATAATTATTGTGAAACACATCCAACAAATGCAGTTGTAACTATTTTAACTACAACAACCACAATAGCGACAACAACAACCATAACAGCAACAACCACA